CAATAATTATTGATATTTCACTTTTTGTAGCTGCTACGTTATTAATAGTCCAAAATTGGGGTACACCAGCTCGGATTTACTGGCCACAATTAAGAGAACAAATACTGGTTCAATGCAACATGAAACAAGGTTTAAACTGGACAAGTGTTAGGACCAGACATGTGGAAGATTTTCTTAAGGAATGGCAAAATACCATTGAGAGTAAAATGGGAAAGGGTTTGGGGGAGCTCTGTCGTCCACCCATGAACACTTGTGGTTTTATGTTACATGTTTGTTGTAATATATATATATATATGATTTCTAGGACAGTAAAAAATATAATTTGCACAGAGGATATGATACTGTATCTAGGAAATATCTGTGTTTGTACTTTATGTGGAAAATCACAATAAAAATTATCAAAAAATAAAAATATATGCTTCTCCGAAAAATATATGCTTCTGAGAGCAGTAATCTCTAGGCACTCTTTCAAAATACACAACCGAGTAGACATGGCTTAATACTTGGCACATAACTTGTTACCTAATCAGATGGTCCCTCAGGGACTTTCCAAAAGCACAAAGTAATATAATGAATAAACATGCTGTCATGTATGTTAACTAGACCTAAATAAAAAAATATCTGCACTATATGTATTTTCATTTACCTTGCCATATGCAGTCAATAAGACTGATCCTAGACACAATCATAATTGGTTCATTTTAAAATACATGAGGAAATCTATAACAAGCAATAACAAATACAAATGGAAGTTTCACTGTCAAGCTTTTTTTTGAGTCTCCACATGGGCTCCATACAACATATGAATGTTTATGATTCACAAACACTAACTTTATTTAACAACCTACAAAGCATTATAGTGGCTTACAGTTTCATTAACTTAGAAAGTTTGATGTTATAAATCTATCACTTTGACTGAAACATTGATGGTGTCACATGTTCCAATAAAGTCTGTCAAGATTGAAAACACTAAATAAATATGTGTTAAAGAGTGCCTAGACCTCTTTTAGACACTTTTAGACCACTATAGGTGAAACATGTCAAACCCTTCATGCTTCAATTATTTTGCTACATTTTATTTTTTTTTATTTTTTTTAAAAAAAACTTATAATTAAATGTTCTATTTTTCTTTTCTTGCCTCACTCCTTGTGATACAATTAGTTATTTATTAGATGCTTGGAACTTTTAGACCACAATTAAAATGAACCCTTCCAGTGCCATATTTGATTATAGTGGGATGATGTAAAGGGCCAATCTTGGGCAGATAAACAGGGTGCACTGGGCCCAGGTGCCAGGGAGCTGAGGCAGAATGGGGAACCAGGGGCGTCAGCGGGGGATCTAACTCAGACTAGATCACATAGTGGGCCACTGAAAAGATCCAAGTCTAAAATGCGCCTTCTATTATTATTAACCCTGAACAGAACAGAGCACTCAGGGCTAATAATAAACCCAGCATGCCAATGTTTGTACTCTTCTCCCTCCCCTTTACTGTAGCGTGGCCAGGAAGTAGCACCTTCTCTCAGCTCAGCCTCAGACACAGTGTTCATGCTGGAGGATGTGTGGAGAGGGCAGGACATAACAGGTCTTATCCCTGCTCCCAGCTTCACACTCAGCACGGTTATGAACAGCGTTGAGGCTGGGCTGAGCCTCTGCCAGAAAAGCTCCGGTCTTTGAGAGCACTCTGATAAGCTGCATCTCCCATCAGACCACCATAGATAAGGATGTCAGGATGGTTTTCTGCATGTCCCATCAGACCACCATAGATAGGAAATTCCCTTTGTTTTCTTTTTTTAAATTATTAAAGCCCCTTATCTCCACTAGACAACCTAACCCCTACTACATCCCGTAACTCCCCATTACTGCCTTTAAACCCCACTACTACTACCCCTAACCCACACTATATATTCAAACCCACAACATTAACCCCTAACCCCAGACTACAGCCTTTAAAACCCACACCTCCTATCCTACACTACTGCCCTTATACCACACTACAGCCTATATCCCCCACTACAGCTCCTATCTCCCACTACAGCCCCAATCTCCACTACAGCACCTACCCACCACTACTAATTACCCACTACTGTCCCAATTCTACACTACAGCCCCTAACTTCCCACCAAAAGCCTCTAATGGAAAGGTGTAGTCATTGCCATAGAAACATGCATGTATGGTCTAGACATCTGTAAAGGGGCACCAATAAACAATTTTGCACCCAAGCATCTGTGATCCTATGATCATCCCTGATAAAGAATCTGCAGTCTCCTTATTTTATAAAGCATTATCCCACATACAAACATTTCAGGATATACTCTCTTTCTCAGTACAAAAATGACCAAACAAATCTTCATCATAACACAAATGTAATGAAAAAAAAATTTAAAAAGAAATCAGAGAACCAGCTCTTCAATCATCAAAGGGTTTTATACGCCTTTGTCAATTTGAAGAACCTTGAATTAACTGTTATTTGTTTGGCTTGCAAAGTCATCAAATCACATTATAGCCTCAGTAAATTGGCTTTCCTGGTGGTATTACTACACAGCTAAATGTTTTATTAATTAAAATGTATTAATTTCAATTAAATAGGTGGCATTATGGCAGCAAACCGATAATATGTTTTGCTGTTTGCTGTTGTACTCTGCCATTGCTCACCAGTTTTCTCCTGGCGTCTGGCAAATTTAGTAATCATGGCCTCGATGTAGTATTTTTGGATAAGCTTTCCAAATGATTTAATATTTTTGAATACCTTTTAAAAAAAAAAATAATGATTGTTTCAACATATAATAATGCCAAGGCATACAGATCTAGAAACTGCAATTGACAGATTTTCACTTTAACACTGTTTCTTCTTAGAAGTCTTTACTAACAGGCATCAAATTACAGTTAAACAATAAATATATAATTAAATTTTTGTTGTGAAATATATTCCATTACATTTTTTAAGAATATCTATGACACATGACAAATGATCCTTTGTTTCACCCTCATGATACATTCATTCACAATTTCTGTAGCAACAGAGAATTCATGTTCTATATATCTAAAACTGATTTAAACGGTAAAATGAACATTCTGGTGGCTCAAGTGATGAACAGAGCACTGGACCAGTATATCCATGACAACAGAGATGTAAGATGTATGAGAACAACTGCTGCTGCTGCTGCAAAAAGAAAAAAGATATGTTATCCTTGGTTATTGTATCTACATACTTTGACATTTATTAAACCTCAATAACTATTAATTGACACAAAAACAAAAACAGAAAAATATAAATTTTCACATTTAACATGGCTTCTTCTTAGAAGTCCCTGCCTGGAGGCATCAATTAATAATTAAACAATTAATATGTAATACATTTTCTTTGTAAAATATACTACCATACGTGTTTTAAGAATATCTATGACACATGACAAATCATCATATGTTTCTCCCTCATAATACTTGTATTCACAATTTCTGTAGCAACAAAGAATGTATGTTCTATATATCTAGATCAGAGTTAAATGGTAAAATGAACATCCTGGTGGCTCAAGGGATGAACAGAGCAGTGGGCCAGTATATCCATGACAACAGAGTTTTACGACGTATGAGGGAAAAAAAGAAGAAAAGGAGGGGGACTTGAATAAATGATAAATCATGTTTTGTGATGCAAGACATTTTACCTACATATTAATGATTTAACCAGGGTTCTCGTGGTCCTGGAGCCCTAAATTCTTTAATGCTGCCAGTGGCCACCCTTCCTAGATTAACTGAGACAGTCTGGACTAGAGAGGTATGTTAAATAAAATAAAATACATCACAATATCCTGTACAGCTGGTAGTTTGGTCAAGGCCATAAGGCAGCCCTTGTTTAATGTGTCTGAGACAGGGCATGACAAAAAGACCAGGACCTTTAGTCCAAGGGTAAAATTAATGTACACAATAAATTGATTTTTATGGACCTTTGCAAGTTAGAAGAAAACCAGAGTGTTAGGAAATTTTATGTTCCAATTTTCAAACTCTTTCGAGTTAAAATTGCTTCCTCTTTTGCCTTTTCAAGGAGTTTCCACATTAGGTCTGAAATGGTTGGTAGGGTGTCCTGTTTTAAAACAGCATAGGTTTCCCTATCCTGCAATAATCTATTTGCTTCCTTGAGGTAATTTTCTATGTTCAGAATGACTATCCCTCCTCCCTTATCCCTTATTTAATAATTGTATTTGGATGTTGTTTCATTTCCTGTAAAACCTTTATTTTATTTCTTGACATATTGTTTGTTTTTTTTAAATTAGTTTTTTTTTTTATTATGTTTGTTTTAGTATGTTTTTCCATATAGGAAAATACTTGATTCATAGGGAAACTGGTCTCAGGTTACCATGTCAGTATGTGTCTGAAGTTGCTCTTATGTCTACATTGGATTTTGTTTTTTAATATTGGAAGTATTTTTTTATATTTCTGTCTTTTCCAAGACATATTTTTGAATTTGTGGTGTTTTTTTTTTCCTCATTAACAAATCAGTTTTTAACCCTTTAACTCTCTCCATGTAATTCAATTACGTATGGGATATATTACACTCGCTGGTACTGCTTAATATGTGATTTGTATTACAGTGCATTACATGGCTTTAATGCTTGCCTATAGATAGTGCAGTACTATCCCTTTCAAATACAAATTATTGTCTCTAGGTTTAGACATTTTTTAGTCTAGTTTAGTACTGCTGCCAATCCCTTGTTTATTATATCTTATATTTACAACTCCACAGCTGCTATACAATAGCAGGTAATGGGTATTAGGCGGACAGCCCCTGATGACTGGCAGAAGGCGAGTACAGAGATCGCATGCCTCCCACCTGTCACACAGTATAGAATGGCCTTGTGGGAACATGAGGTAGATTATTTCATTATCCTCTACCCAGGTCTGACAGGGAGGGAACCTCTTCTCAGGCAGTTGAGGCAAAGTAGAGCACACTGCTGCCTGCTAATAGTCACATGGAATAGGGGCACAGAAAGGAATCTTGTATGTATGTGACTTTGTGTATGTGACTTTGGCTGTGTGTAACTCTGTGTGGCTGGTAATTTGACTTTAGGTGACTGTGTTGGTGTGTGTATGTGACTTTGGTGACTGTGTGCATGTGGCCATGTGTGTGTGATTTTCTGTATATGACCGTGTGTGTAACTGTGAATATGTGTGCACGTGTGACTATGAGTGATGTGTATGACTATATGTAACTGTGTTTATGTGTCTTTATGAGACTGGTGTGCCAACATCAGATCCGGTGCAAGGATTTTTGCCGCCCTAGGCAAAAGTAAAGTTTGCCGCCCCTGCCATGTGACATCACAATGTCCCACCCATATGATCTGCCATGTTAACTAACGCCAATGCTGCAGTGCTGCCGTGTTTACATTAAAAGGCCTGCAGGGACAGGCTATAGACACCAGAACCACTACATTAAGCTGCAGTGGTTCTGGGGACTATAGTGTTTCTTTAATGTGAGGTAAATTAGAGATTAGTGCCACGAATAATATACTAGATTTCCTATTTACAACCGAATGAGGATGATGATGGCTCTAGCTGCAGTCTGTAGGGGATGTTCTGATGTGTGTGTAAGGAATGCATTGTGTGAATCTGTGTATGTGCAAGGACTGCAAGGTGTGTTTCTGTGTATGTACGGGATGCAGTGTGTGCATCTGTAAGGGGTGCATTGAGCGTGTGTAAGGAATGCATTATGTGTTTCTGTGTGTGTAAGGGATGCATTGTGTGTAACGGTTGCATTGCTTGTGTGTGTGTCTGTGTGTGTAATGCATTGTGTGTGTAATGCATTGTGTGTTTTTCTGTGTGCAAGGGGTGCATTGTCTTTGTGTGTGTGTGTGATGGATGTCAATCACTCCCCCCTCCCTTATCACTCTCTTCTCCCCCCTCTCCCTCCCTTGTCACTCTCTTCTCCCCCTTGTCCCTCTCTTCTCCCCCCCTTGCCACTCTCTTCTCCCCCCCGTCACTCTCTTCTCCCCCTTGTCACTCTCATTCCCCTCCCTCCCTTGTCACTCTCACCCCTGTCAGGTATTATCTCTCCCCCCTCTCCTCATACTGGCCCGAGGCGGTGTGGTAAGCCCTCATGGATGCACCAGCCGGTCAAAGCTGGCCGCCTGAGGCTCTCTGCAGGCTGGTGACTGCAGTGAGGAACCAGCGCTGTGGCCTTCCTAAGGGGCGCCCAGTCAGCTGCCTAGTCCAGCCTAACAGGTAGCGCCGGCCCTGGCCAACATACAAATACACATCAACCATGTGCCAAGTATCCTGCTGCTGTATTAATCCCACACCATACTGCATCAACCCAGCATCTACAACATAAACTTAAACTTGTAGCATTTAACCTTCATCCACAACATTAACCCCTTAGGGACCAGACCGTTTCTCAATTTTCTTATCGTTAAGAACCAGGGCTGTTTTTAAATTTCTGCAGTGTTTGTGTTTAGATGTAATTTCCCTCTTACTCATTTACTGTACCCACACATATTATATACAGTTTTTCTCGCCATTAAATCATTAAATGGTCTTTCTAAAGATACCATTATTTTCATCATATCATATAATTTACTATAAAAAAATTATATAATATGATGAAAAAATTGAAAAAACAAAAAACAAAAACTTTTTCTAACTTTGACCCCCAAAATCTGTTACGGATCTACAACTGCAAAAAAACACGCATGCTAAATAGCTTCTAAATTTTGTCCTGAGTTTAGAAATACCCAATGCTAACATGTTCTTAGCTTTTTTGCACGTTATAGGGCTATAAGTACAGGTATGACATTGCTGTTTCAAAATATATATTTTTAAAATTTATCAATAGTGACATTGTAACACTGTTATCTGTGATAAAGCTCTGAATCACACCTCACATGTACATTTTTTTTTAAAGTAGGCAACCCAGGGTATTCAATATGGGTTATGTCCAGTCTATTTTAATAACCACTTAGTCACAAACACTGGCCAAAGTTAGCATTTATATTTGTTTGTGTGTTAAAAATGCAAAAAACAATTATGAACGCTAACTTTGTGACTACTAAAAAAGACTGAACATACCGCATTTGCAATAACTTGGGTTGTCTTCTTTCGCAAATGGTATGCCATCATGGGAATATTTCTCTTTCCTGGGCTACCATATGCTCTTAAAGGCAACAAATCTGGCAAATTTCAATGTGAAACGGAAAATCAAGCCTTACATTTGACCCTGTAACTTTCAAAAACACTATAAAACCCTATAAAACCTTTACATGGGGGCTACTGTTATACTCGGGAGACTTTGCTGAACACAAATATTAGTGTTTCAAAACAGTAAAATGTATCACAACAATATCATCAGTGAAAGTGCCGTTTGTGTGTGAAAAATTAAAAAAACGTTGCTTTCACTGACTATATCATCGCTGTGCTATGTTTTACTGATTTGAAACACTAATATTTGTGTTCAGTGAGGTCTACCGAGTACAACAGTACCCCCCATGTACAGGTTTTAGGGTGTCTTGGAAAGTTACAGGGTTAAATATAGTCCTAGCAAATTAAATTCTCTGAACTTTCGGCCTGGGTTGTCCCCAAATTGCAATAAATAATATTACCTAATTATGTATTTAGAATCAATGGCTGAATCAATTTTCAGTTCTTTACAACCTATAAAGTGTTTTGAAACTTACTGTGCGTAATAATTTGGAACAGTGCATTGTATGTTTTTTGTGTTTACTTATAATGCACTGTTCCAAATTATTACGCACAGTAAGTTTCAAACCACTTTATAGGTTGTAAAGAACCGGAAATTGTCATTTATTGTGTTTGCAGCATATTTACTGAAATCAAAAGCTATTTCAATCAAACGTATAAAAACATTTTAACTTTTTAAACATTTTAACAGGTCATGTTACGTTTCAACATAGGACCCCTTATTTGATAGCAGCTTCACAAGTCTTGCATCCATTGAACTTGTGAGTTTTTGGACAATTTCTGCTTGAATTTGTTTACAAGATGTCAGAATAGCCTCCCAGAGCTGCTGTTTGGATGTAAACTGCCTCCCACCCTCATAGATCTTTTACTTGAGGATTCTCCGAAGGTTCTCAATAGGATTGAGGTCAGGGGAGGATGGAGGCCACACCATGACTCTCTCTCCTTTTATCGCCATAGCAGCCATTGATGCAGAGTTATTCTTTGCAGCATGAGATGGTGCATTGTCATGCATGAAGAGGATTTTATTACGGAAAGCATAGTTCTTCCTTCTGTACCAGGGAAGAAAGTGGTCAGTCAGAAACTCCACATACTTTGCAGAGGTCATCTTTACACCTTCGGGGACCCTAAAGGGGCAGACCAGCTCCCTTCCCATGATTCCGGCCCAAAACATGACTCCACCACCGCCTTGCTGACGTCGCAACCTTGTTGGAACAGGGTGGCCGTCCACCAACCATCCACTACTCCATCCATCTGGACCATCCAGGGTTGCATGGCGCTCATCAGTGAACAGGACAGTTTGAAAATTAGTCTTCATGTATTTTTCTGCCCAATGCAGCAGTTTCTGCTTGTGAGCATTGGTTAGTGGTGGCTGAATAGAAGGTTTATGGACAGTTGCAAGACTCTGGAGGACTCTACACCTTGATGTCCGTGGGACTCCAGAGGCACCAGCAGATTCAAATATCTGTTTGTTGTTATGTAATGGTATTTTAGCAGCTGCTCTCTTGATCCGATGCATGGATCTGGCAGAAATCTTCCTCAATGTGTCTTTATCTGCACGAACCCGTCTGTGCTCTGAATCAGCCACAAATCTCTTAATAGTGCGATGATCACGCTTCAGTTTTCGTGAAATATCTAATGTTTGTATACCTTGTCCAAGGCATTGAACTATTTCACTCCTTTCGGCAGCAGAGAGATCCTTTTTCTTCCCCATATTGCATGAAAATGGTGCTCTGCTTAATAATGTGGAACACCCTCCTTTAGTAGTTTTTCCTTAAATTGGGCTCACCTTGCAATCAAATTATCACAGGTGGCCGAGATTGTTTTCAATGATCAAAAGAGCCCTGAGACACAATGCCATCCATGAGTTAAACTGAAAAACTAAATATTTAATCTTTGTGCTCTGCTCATGGTTCCTGCCCACCCATCCCTGGCCTAAGGTAAGACTCAGGGAGGGGTGGAATACACTGTAGATTTTTTTTGTTTATCCCCTTCCTCAGCCCCTAATCCCCTTCCTCAGCCACTATCCCCTTCCTCAGCCCCTGTCCCCCTTACTCAGCCCATGACCCTCTTTCTCAGTTCCTGTCCCCCTTCCTCAGCCCCTGTCCCCCTTCCTCAACCCCTGCCCTTGCTCAGCCCCTGTGCCTTTGCTCAGCCACTGTGTCCTTCCCCTGTCCCTTTCCTCAGCCCTTTCCCTTTCCTCAGCCTTGTCCCCTTCCTCAGCCTTGTCCCCTTCCTCAGCCCCCGTCCCCCTTCCTTAGCCCCCGTCCCACTTCCTCAGCCCCCGTCCCTCTTCCTCAGCCCCCGTCCCTCTTCCTCAGCCCTTGTCCCTCTTCCTCAGCCCTTGTCCCTTTGTTTAGCCCTTGTCCCTTTCCTCAGCCCTGTCTCCTTCATGAGCCCCTGTCTACCTTCCTCAGCCCCTGTCCCTTTGCTCAGCCCCTGTCCCCTTCCTCAGCCCCTGTCCCCCTTCCTCAGCCCCAGTCCACCTTCCTCAGCCCATGTCCCTTTGATCAGCCCATGTCCCTTTCCTGAGCTCTGCAGGGCAGGGAAAGGCTTACAAAACTTTCAGACACCCTGCAATTTGACTCAGAGCGCTCTGGTTGTTTTAAGCCAACCAATAAGAGTGCTCTGATAGGTAAATAGTGAGCCTTACAGGTAACGAAGTAAGGCTAACTATTGACCTATCTGAGTACTCTTATTGTTTTGGTTTTTTTTGCGTTCTGGTAATTTTTTATTTTATAAAGTCGACAGCCTTTTTGGGGGCAGAAAAAAGAAGGTGTTAGAAAAAAAAGAAGGTATTACAGGTATTTAGTTTTATTGTTCCTCCCTCACTAATTTTAGGGTGAGGGGGGTAGGTGGGGCTTTATATAATTTTTTTGGGGTGGGGGCTGACTAGGTACTTGGGGACCCCTAGTCATCTAGGGGGAGGGAAGTATTTTTTCATTTAGCCACCACCCATCACCCATGGGTTGGGGCCAGGGTGGGGGCCTCATGGGTGGAGGCCTGGGGGGACAATAGGTCCCCCCTTGTTGTAATTTAGGGCCCCCAC